ATTGATTAATAAAAAAAATGAAAACTAAAAAGGACATAATCGAAATTTTATAATCACCTCCTAAAATTTAAATTTAGTTAATTATAAGCAAAGTAAAAACTAAATTGCAAATATTAATAATGTTTATACTCACATTCTATTAAGGTTTTTATATAAGGATTAATTACCAAAGAGATTTAAAGAATTCGTTGTATAAAATTCCAAATTAGAGACAATACTTACAACCTGGTAATATAATCAATTGAACGGAAAAAGTTATAATTAATATTAATTAATTACTACTAAAAATGCCGTTAACCAAATAAGAAATTTTATACTTACGCTCTAATGAATTATAACGCATGCAATTTGATCAGAGAATTATAATTCAATCATTGAGCGTATTCAACGATGGATGGTCAAAGTTTATACTTACCTCCTATTAATTTAAACATTATATTAATTTGTTAGGATGAGTAAGAAATCACAAAAATGTAAAAAAAAAATAAACAGATATTTACCAACTAAAAATTAATTAAGTACGTGGTTTATAAAAATGTTAATAAAAAAAAGATTGATATATAATAAAAGTCGATGCTTACAGACTGATATATAACAAGCACAAATGTTGTTTGTTTGTTAGAAAAAGAAACAATAATTTAATATATTTGAAAAAAAAAGAAATTATACACACTCTGGTCGAGTCGGTGAGGCACCATGATTATTCATGTTTTGATCAGAATCAGTTGCATCTTGATTGAAAAGAAAAGTAAAAAGCTTTTTTTTTAGTAAAAATCATTAGAATTAAGAAAAATTAAGAAATTAAGAAAATTAAAACAATTAGGAAAGAGTAAGGTTAATTTTTAGCAAAAGAAATTACCAAGGTTATTTGTAATCAATATACCAGAAGATTCTTTTTCAAGCTCATTTAACTTAATTAAAATTATATCTAATGTTGGACGTTCATTAGATTCAAAAGACCAACATTTAACATAGAGATCAACATAACCTGGGGGAGCTCCCTCAATAATCCTTTCTCTATTATTTTTCGAAATGATTTCCAAATATATAGCCATCATGGTAAGATTATGGAATGGAGGAATTCCACTAGTAAGTTCCCAAAATAAAACTCCTACGCTATAAATATCGGATTTATGATCACATTCAAATTTTTTTTTGCAGATGAATTGAGGATCAATATATGCTATCATAGTCGCAGCACCGGGATTGGAAGTGTCATTTAATTGTTTGGGTATTCCAAAATCCGAAATCAAAGCTTTACCATCGTTTATTAAAATATTATTAGAATGCTAAAAAAATGTATTAATAAAATAAATAAATGAATCAATAAAATAAATATTAATAATAAATAAATAAATAAATTAGAAGTATAATTAAAGAGGTTTAAAGATTACTAACTAGATTACGGTGGACAATTCCTTGTCCATGTAAATAAATTAAACCATTTATAATTCCTTTTGCAATACTATAGAGCTCATTACATGAGATTGAATATAGTCCATTTCTGCATTTGCTTCGTAAATAATTACGTAGTGAACCGTTATTGGCATATTGTAATACTAGCATGAAATTCCCCGTTTTTGGTTCTAGAGTAAGATAAATCAAATATAACAAATGTAGGCAAATATATTAAATTTAAGCAATTAAGGGTAACAGGTAAATGAATCACACACACACATATATAACACTCATATATATAACACTCATATATATAACACACATATATACACACACATATATATACATATATATACAGTGTATATATATGTATAAACAAATGATAATATATGAGATCAAAACATTATAATACCTCTTGAAATTCCAAACAATTTAATGACATTAGGATGGTCAGCATAATTAAGATTTATAATCTATATGTAATTATAAAAAAATAGGTAAATTTAAAGGTTAAGAAGAGCGAAATGAAATTGAATTTGTTTCTGAGATCAAAATACATATTATTTTAAAGTTTAGATCAGTATCTTTAAAACTCGTGGAGAAAATCAACAAAAGGTTTCATGTAACCTAAATTAACACTCAAATTTATGAAAAATAATACCTCTTGAGAAAGCTGTTTGAGTTTTCTTTTATCCATATCAAGATTATTGTTTAAACTTTTTAGAGCATAGTATTTTCTCCGAGAAGTAGTTGAATATACAATTGCGGTAACACCTTTTCCAATTGGTTTTGGTTTTGTAAATTCCGAATAATCAAGGTTTTTTACATTTTTTTGACCCAATAATCTTACTAAAGATCCTGAATGTTTTAATACTAATAAAATCATGTATTAATATTATAATGTTAATAATAATAATCTCTTGTTATTTTCCTTTTTATTTTTTGATAGTTACAAGTTTCTTCACCGGATTTAGCATCGAGCAAACCATCTCTATCCCAGCTAATAGAACTCATCGCAATTATGATTAGAAACAGATAATAAGCGTGATTTATTCAAAGCATAATTCAAAATTTGACATAGTCATATATTATATAGAATGAAAGAACAATGTAGAGAAAATCGGAGTTACCGGAGCGAATTTATATCTACAGATGAACACGTGAACAATGAATTTGGAGATTTACCAGATTTGCACAACGTATAAATAAAGTATACATATGCATTTGATTCATTTGATTATTAAAATAGGATTTGTTTCATAAAAGAAACTTACGTAGCAAATGAATACGTACGTACGTATGTACGTACGTGGTAATTGTTCCCTTTTATATAACCTAAAATAGATGAAGGTCATTAAAGTTTAGAATCACATTATATTTGTTATCTTTTTTGAGGCTGATAAAGTATATCTAACAATGTTACTTTTGAATTAAAGTTCGTAATACTGTATATAATAAACTTTATAAGGATTTAGTATGTATCAGTATGTAGGTACGTACGTATGTACGTACTTATTTACGTATTATTCATTATCGTTATAGATTGAAAGTCTCCTAAATTTTACAATTAATGGATTTCTAATAATCGATACATACCAATATTGATATTCGGATACAAAAAAAAAAGATTAAAGATTTTTTAATTGTGGTATCGCGTGACTATTTTTTTAGATAGCATTTATCCATAATAGGCTATTAGCTGGCAATGAACTCGCTAATGCGGGAACTAATGTGGCTAATAATCTTGTTAATGTTACGCAAGAATCAATACGAAGCAGGTTTTAATATCATCACGTTTGCTATATGACCAGAATTTATAGAAATTCTCTTAATGGCATAACGATAAAACATTCTTCATTATCGTTATATAGCGATGGTATCCGCTAGATTATAGATTATGTAGGGGTAGCAATAAGATTACGAATGAAAAAACAGACCAGTATTATGCAAAATCATGCAGATTTCTAATATGTAGAAACTGTATAACGGATAGTGCCGGCTAATTTTCGGTCACATGCATGTAAATTTTCATGCAGCAATCACATGATTTGCCGACGTTTATTACTGCAGTACTGTATTACTAATATGTATTAATAATCAATTACGTATTTGATCATCAAAAAATGTTATCTAATGTTAAGTAAATGCTAAGCATAATGCTAAGCATATATGGTAAATTCATCGAAATCAACTTTAACAGTAGTTTTAGCCGAGCTTATCTCTAATTCAATAATGATAATATGCTTTGAAAGAGAAAATCGAAGAAATTTACCCGAACGACAATAATATCTTATTGTTTCCAATAACAAATAAAGTCGTTATTGGCATTATTTCACGAATTAAGTTAAATTTCTTAATCAAGCATTACTGTTTTTGAGATTTAATTTAGTAAGATTAGCATCCGAATCACATCAAATCTAATCTAAATTATAACAAAACGACAAAATCTCTATTATTTTACTAATTCAATATTAAATCAATATATATGCTTTTGTAAGTTTGTTATAATAACTTTATAATTAATGGCTTGATATGAGCCAAAAGAATACTTATTAAAAATATTTGCGTTTATAAAAAAGTCTCCTAATCGTTAAATGACTTGGTCATTGTTATGATAATGTGACTTTGTACACAATCTTGATAAAATTTATTTTGCCAAATATGCATGCATCATTTGTGTTGATTTTAACTATAAATAGTAATAGATTATTGAGCCCGTTTTCTACAGTACATATTGATACACATTGCGGAGGCAGTGAGACAATAGTTCATAATACAGTATTAACGTTGAAGCTCTGATTTCTCAACTTTTGATAAATACTGAATTTATTCTTATTTATTTGTATCTATTATGAAAATCAATTTCAAGTGGTTGATTTTTTATATAAATTTTATTACTAAAATTTCAGATTTCTTTTCGGTACATTACATGTAATTCATAATTTTAATGATTTAAATAAATTCGAAGGAACATTTTTCTCTAACAACTAGTACTACAACTTGAGCATTCATAATAGTCAATAACTTGTATATCCTCATGCGTACGTATACGTATCAGCCTCATACATCAGTATATTCGTTTTGTGCCAATTACAGTAATTACAAATGTTCCGATAACGATAATGATTGATCATAATATATTACCTTATTTTTGCTAAATTATCCCAAAATTAGCATTTTCCTAATTTGAGAAAAGATTGTTTGCTTTTTTCAAATGTGGCGGGGGTTGGAAGCTAAAATTTTAATATTAGATATTATTTGGGTTCATGTAGCATAAAAATTAAAACTGATTCTACTTTTTAATTTGTTCTCGGATGGTGGCACCTCATCATATGAGACGTAGATCCTGCGTAACCAAAATATGAAAAAATGCTTTTTGGCCTTCTAGGACAACGTTGGTTCTAACTTCTTAAGTACGTACGTACGTACCTTAAATTTGTTTGTTTTTAAAATTACCGCTATATTCTTTTTTTTACAATTGTTTGTACTATATTTCTTTCTGGTTTGTAAACCTGTTTATTCTCTCCGAAGTGAGGTACACTCAATGTATGACGAATAACAAAATTTCTTGCATTTCTTCTTCTACCTTTTCTCTACTCTACGCTATAACCACACATAAAGTTTATGTCTACACTGTTCTCGGCATAGTTAATAGAATGCCTTTTGTTATATAGTGTTTCTTAATGCGAATGCCAAAGAAAAATATACGCATATGCACTTTCACCTGAGTTAAAAGCCATAATGACGTTCACGTGGCTAGAACTAATAGCATTAGTAATACAGTACGCAGTTTAACCCGCAAATAAAATAGGATTTTCCTAAAAAAATTAAGTACGTACATATATATATCTTTGTATCGTATTTATGTCGCACAATATCGGAGTGTCGAAAAAAGCTCCGTATCAATTTATTATATTATCACGTCAGCATTTCTTACGCTTTACTAACCTGTGTAATTTTAAACAACTTTGGGATGACTCGCTGTTATGTTCCTCTTCTCAATTTGATGATGGATGAAGACTTACGTGAGTTAAATAAATAATCATTTAAATACTGTAAATAACAATTTGAATTCGTAATTTACGCATTACCTCTATTAATATCTATTAATATCTATTAATATCTAACAATGTATTAAATCGTTAGTTCAAAAACACTCAGATAAATTATTAAAGTTTTTGTATAATAATAATGTAAAAAAGTTTGAATATTCGCAATTTAGTCAACTCACATATATCAAAAGTGGAAATTGTGCGATGGTATATTCAGCACTGTTTGAAAATCAAATTTACGCATTAAAGTTTTTAAACAACAATTTACGCATGGATCAAGATGCGATAAAACAATTCACTAGAGAAGTAATATTCATTATCTTATTTTAGTTTCTTAATATTCTAATATATTTAATATATACATTAACTTGATACAAACTATTATATATTTATATACTTATAGCTTATAAGTCTTTATAATAGTGACCATCCTAATATTATTAAACTTTTCGGTGTTTCAATTTGTACGATAAAGACATAATTTGTTTTTTTGATTTTAAATTATTGAATATTATCTTCTCAACCATAATTTAATTATTTATTAGACCCAGATACTGATAATTTACTATTAGTGTTACAAATCGCCGATACAACTCTACGTGAGCATTTAAAAAACAAACATAACAAAAGTCTTTATCAAATTTCATGGGATGAACTTATTTATCTTGCAAAAGGAATCACAAATGGATTGAAATATTTACATGATAGAGAAATTATTCATCGAGATCTAGTAAGTTATTTTTTTTAATCTACCGTATAAAAATTAGGAACGGGCAATTATAATATATATATAATTCGAGTTACTTATTTTATATTTAAAAAAAATGTCATTGCTTTTAATTAACTCTTAACATTTTTAGCTATCATTGTTAATCCATTTTTTGCTAACACTATTTGTTAATATGCCCATCCCTAATACAAAAAAATATATATATATAATATAAAATTGATTTAATTTTAATAATTTATAATTCTGCAGCATTCTATGAATATCCTTATAAATAAGGGAAAGGCTTTAATCGCAGATTTCGGGTTATCAAAAGATATAAATGATCCTCATTCAAATTCAATTATGAAATGTGCGGTTTCTTACACTGATCCAAAATATCTTTTAAGTAGCGGCGGAGTTAAACGTAACAAACAATCAGATATCTATAGTCTGGGTACATTACTCTGGGAACTCACAAGTGGAATCCCTCCATATCATGGATTAACCGTTTACGATGTCCTTCATAAACTTATAGCTAACAGGAGACCCGAAATTGTTAATGGTACTCCTTCAGGCTACTGTGATCTTTTTGGTAGATGCTGGTCCTCTAATCCAGAAGATCGTCCCTCATTAGATGCTATTTTAATCCAGCTCGAAAATCTGTCAACAGAACCTATCAAAACAATAACAAATCATGTTGTAATGCGAGATAAAATCAATATTAATCAAGATAAATCTATTGACAATTCATCTGCAGATATTGATAGCGTGTGAATTTTTTTCTTTAAATCCTTCAACTATGTATTAAAATTACTGGTAAGCTAAAATATGCTTAACTTACTTTAATATTTTACAATTATATTACCAGCAACATATACGAATATGTTGCTATAGTTCGTATTTTGTAATGTTATTATTACCAGTAGCTTTTTTTTTAAACAATTCATTCAATCAATGATCATAAAAAGCTCATAGGATTCACTTGTAAATAAAATTTGTCTAATAAAATATTACTTTAATCGCATACTAATTTTCTGCAGTTTTTTTTTTTTTACTAGTCGCAAATACTTCTAATCATTTGTTCGCGACATATAAGAATCGTAGAAATGTGAAAAGTGAATGTAATTTTAGTAATGTAAATTTAATATTCTTGACAATTGTTAATAAATAATATTCTTGACAATTATTAATAAACATTCTTCATAATTGTTAATTAGCAATGTAAATTCTTGCAAAATCCTATTTCTTCAATGAAATTGCAAGCATTTGAATTTAAATATTAGTACTGTAGAAATGTTAAAAATAGTTATAAATTTAGTAAATGTGAACTTATCTAATTTAATATTTTTTTTGACAACTGGCTATTAAATATTCTAAACTCTATTGCGCTCATGCCTTTTCAATTAATTAAATTGAAAGCTTTTGTGCTTAATTAAATATTTGGACTGAGTATTTCATTTATATTATTACTTAACTCAGTAAAAAAATCGAAGAATATTAGTTTTAATATATTATACCTGGGTGTCGTGGTTCACACAGTATACGCAGTAAATAAATTGTTCGCGTTTATACCATACCATATAGTAATTTTAAAAATGCTTTAGTCTTACAAATTTTATCACAGTAAAAAGTAAAATCAAAAGGAATTCTTTGTTATAGATATTATCTAAAATATTTTAAGCAATTTTGAATTAATATGCTATGTAAGATTGTAACGCAAAATATTATCACAGTAAAGTCAAAAAATATATATATTCTTTGTTATAGAAATTACCTGAAATATTTTAAGCAGTTTTGATTTAGTCTGATATGTAAGATTTTAGATTGTTTTTTAAAAACTTGCTAAGACTTTATTATCGAGCGTGCTGAAATATTAACAAGTATAATATATTTATTTATTTAGTTTTGAGTTAACCATATAGCATGGTTTAAATTTATTTCTTCCTAAAAATTGTTTTTTTTAAAAAAAATTAAATAGAGTCAATTGTCTTAACCTTACCTCTTACATTTGATCGTATCTCATACGTACGTACCATATCTAAATTAAAACTCTTCCCACTTATTAGTTTTAAATTTTAAATCAGAATACATGTCAGATATCGTGATTCACTCACATATTTGTCACGAAATGTGCTTAACAGAAAATTCATTCTTATTTAAAATTATCACCCCAGCCACCTTGTTACTTTCTTCATTTTACTTTCTTTGCTTCCTTTTCTTACTTTCATTCACCAATTTATGCATTTAATACAGGCACTTGTATTAGCTTCAAATAAATTTAACGAACAACATTTTGATACTTAGCTACGTAAAATAAATAGATAAATAAATAAATCAATCGTCGGTTTTTTAGATTAGTTACAGGTATCGAAATAAATACAGAAATTCTTATATTAGCATGTAACTGATCTTGGTGGTTATGTTTAGAAAATTTTGCTTGCGGAATAAATTTTCAATTTGCGCCTATAGGTTCCGAATATATTGTTCTTATAAAATTATTAATCAAGTTAAAAATATTGTTTGAGTTAAAAATATTGTAGAATTAAAAATGTTAAAAATATTGTTTAAGTTATTAATTGAGATAAATTTATTAATTTATTAAGTGAGTTAAAATTATGAATCTAAATTTATTAATTTATTATGTGAGTTAAAATTATGAATCTAAATTTATTTATTTATTAAGTGAGTTAAAATTATGAATCTAAATTTATATAAATGTAACAAATGTAAAACAGTAAAGCATTAAGTCAAAAATATCAAATATTGATCTCTATGATATTGGTTCTTATGATTCTGAAAGTTTTGATTATGATAGCACTAATGCCTCAACATCTCAAACATCTAAAAGTATAGAAAGCAATAGAAAGTTGACTGTGTGGGATTTTATACATGAAGAAAGAAATGCAACTGGAACTGTTATAGTAATATGTGATGAGTATTCATAAGAATATAGTATAAAAACATCAACAGGGGTTTTAGCCAAACATTTAAATAAAAAACATAATCATAGTATTACTTTGAAACCAAGAAGATTTTTGGTTTAAAAACCTTATTGTAAAGATGATAATATACATATAGAAGAATGTGAAAGTTCCATATAAATTTCTTTGTTGATAATCAAATTCTATTCAATACTACAAAAAGCAGGTGGTTTTATAAGATACAAGTACACTTGATCCAAGGTATTATAAATACTAATTTATTACTACTCTTTTCAATTTAATTAGATCATTGATTCAACTAAATCAAAAAGAGCAATAAATTTTATTAGATAAGCTTTTTTAGATTTTAATATCTATATTGTTCTATATTTTTTTCTTAATTAGGTATATCTCACCAAGTTAGCAACTTATAAAAGACAAAATAATGTCATGATATGAGATTCAAAAATCACTTGTTTTTGAAGAACTTAAAAATTTAAATACAAAAGTAGCACTTAATACAGATATTTAAACCTCTTTAGCAAATCAGGCTTATTTTAGTGTCACAATTTACTTTATTAATTACAAATGAAAATAAACTAATTCTTACTTGATCTAATTCATTTTGAGTTCAACCATACTGGGTATATACAAAAGACAGATTAATTAATCTTTGTAATAATATGAATATTAGTAATAAAGTTACAGCATTAACTACAGACAACTATTTAGCAATGATCTTATATAGAGATCTATTAGAAAGAAATTGAAGCAAATTTTGGTTTAGCTATTATAGATGTGCAGCACACATTTTAAATATTGCAGTTAGCTATGGAATGCAACTAGAAATTGCAATAATTTAAAAAATTCAAAATTTTATAAATAGGTTTAATGTTAACAATTTTGTATGATAATCTTTAACGTTTTGTACCTTAAATAGATAATCACATTATTTTTAAAAAAATTATCATAGTAGTACATATCTCTAATGAAAAGTAGTACATGCCTAGATACCTGGCATACTATAAGATAAGCTATATGGTAATATTAATTATTTAATTTCTATATTAAATAGCTATAATTTTTATATTTTAATAAAAAATGTTTCATATACTCAAATTAATGTGGTTATTCATTAGAACAGTATCTATAAAATGCTTTATAGATTTAAACTTATATATTCTAAAATTAATCTTCTTGTAACAGCACACAAAAATCAGCTTAATTATACTTATTCTAGTAATTATGAGTGGGAAAGAATTAATATTATAATCAATTTTCTTCATTTAGTTCTTGAAGCAACAGAATATCTTTCAGGTAGCTCATATCCAATGATCTCTGATATTCGTTTGACTGTTGGCAAACTTATTTAGCATTTTGATTGTTTTATTGATGACAGATCATATTTGAATAAAGAGTATATAGTTGCAGACTCTATACATTACAAATTAAATGAATACTGGTCTCTTCTTAATAAAAAAATTACAGGACTACAATTCTTGACCTATTATCAAAGCTTAAAACATTTTTACCTTGAAAAAAAAAACTGCAGCTATTACTAGTTTGCATCAAGAAATACTTATCTAATAAAATTTATTGCTCTTTTTGATTTAGTTGAATCAATGATTTAACTAAATTAAAAAGAGTAGTAATAAATTAGTATTTATAATACCTTGGATCAAGTGTACTTGTATCTTATAAAACCACCTACTTTCTGCAGTATTGAATAGAATTTGATCACAAACAAAGAAATCTATATAGAACTTTCACATTTTTCTATATATATATTATCATCTTTATAATAAGGTTTTTAAACCAAAAATCTTCTTGGTTTCAAAGTAATACTATAATTATGTTTTTATTTAAATGTTTGGCTAAAACTCCTGTTAATGTTTTTATACTATATTCTTATAAACACTCATCACATATTACTATAACAGTTCTAGTTGCATTTCTTTTTTTATACATAAAATTCTACACAGTCAACTTTCTATTACTTTCTATACTTTTAGATATTTGAGATGTTAAAGCATTAGTGCTATTATAATCAGAACTTTCAGAATTATAAGAACCAATATCATAGAGATCAATATTTGATATTTTTGACTTAATGCTTTACTGTTTTACATTTGTTATATTTATATAAATTTAGATTCATAATTTTAACTCACTTAATAAATTAATAAATTTAGATTCATAATTTTAACTCATTAATAAATTAATAAATTTAGATTCATAATTTTAACTTACATAATAAATTAATAAATTTAAATTCATAATTTTAACTCACTTAATAAATTAATAAATTTAACTCAATTAATAACTTAAACAATATTTTAACAACATTTTTAATTCTACAATATTTTTAACTCAAACAATATTTTTAACTTGATTAATAATTTTATAAAAACAATATATTTATTTTTACAAAATGAGGTTTGAAAATGCAATATAAAAAAATTAGCAAGAACTATTTTATTTTAGTGAAACTAGCATTTGCACTTGATATACTAATAAACCCCTATCACTACAAATATAATTTATCGATACCTGTTCATAAAAAAATATTATTAAATGCCCTTTGCATCTTTATATGTATCCCTTAAACCGTCCAGTGGCCAAATATGCCCGCTAGAATATATTTTTTTATATTTTTTTATAATTGTTTAAAATTTTATTAAGAATAAGTACCCCTATTTCTAAGCTAAAATAAAAATTTGAGATATTTTTAATTAATCATCTG